TTTGGAGCCTATCCTGGCACTCACTCTGGAGACCAGGCTGGCCTTGAACTCATGGAGATCTGCCTGCCTCTGCCTCCTGAGTGCAGGGATTAAAGGCGTGCGCCACCAACGCCCGGCGACATCTGCTTTTTTCACTGTTCCTTTGCATCTACTTGGGTCATTTGTGGACATTTATGTTCCCCTGAGTGAACCACACAAGGGATCTTTCATAAGCCCTGTGACTTCTCAGGGGTGGGCTCTGTGGTATCAGTTCTGACTTGTACTAGTTTAATCCCACCGGCCTCCAGAAGCAGCGCCTTTACTGATCCCTTCGCTGCCCCTTTGTGGAGCTGTTGTCTTGCACATCACAATGGCACAACTGTAAATGCACTGTATATATGTTAGGTCTCAAAGAAACTGGGCACAAATGGCTGAGGTGCCCATTAACATATCAAGCACACTCTGGCCATCCATCTCCATCAGTTCCTACTCCCAAGTACCTGCTACAGAGTCATCCTGGCTGGCACACCCTACCGGATAGCCTCAACAATACCATGTCCTCATTTTTTCATTCATCTGGTGGCCAAAGCTGGGACTGCATATATGAGTTCCTTTCCAAGGAACTAGGCCTCTGTTCCAAGCTGCTGATCCCACTCTTCCCACAAATATATATGATTCCATATATATTTGTTTCTGCTGGCTTCTGTCACCCACCACATTTGACTTCAAATTCTAGAGTCTTCCTCTTCAGCTGCTTCTTTACTCCCTTTCCCTCTGGCTCCTGCAGCCTGCCACACTTTCTTCCTAAGGCCCCTGGAGCCTACTATGCCCTACCTGGAAACATCTCTTCATCTCTCTGGCCTGCTACAAGGGCATCTCTCTACTAAAGACACTTACCCCCTCCCTTTTCCTGGAAGCCTCTCCCAGTTCACCTCTTCAGTGTTCTCTCCTCTCCTCCTCTACTGGATAAGTGTCATCCTGGAGCTGCCTGCTTTGTCTATTGCCACAAAAGCCACACCAGTGTGTCAGGCTACTCCTTTCAACCAACTGGGCCCTTGTCACATGGAAAGGAACACCTATGCTCTGTGATTTGGGACATCTCTCTTTGACAAATCTCCCATTCTACTTGGGGATGCCCCAGGTTGAAATTCTTGTCACCATGACACTTAACTGTCCTCTGCTCTCTCTACTCCTTCCTGGAACTTCCTCACCTCCCCCTAGGAGCTTCCTGCTAAGACCTGCAGCTTCCTTAAGCCCCTCTGGGCCTCTATGACTCTGTCCTTTCTGTCCCTCCTTCCTGGAAGTCCCACATCTTTATACCCTCCTAAGGCTATACTGTGACCATTTCTCCGCCTTCCCCTCAGATGAAGCTCCCTCCTGGAGTTTCCTCTCCAGCCCTTCACAGCTGCCTGCTCTGCCTCTTCCTCAAGCCCTCCTGGGCCTCTAGGAGTCCTCCCTCAGCCAGAGGTCTCATACTTTGCAATCCTGTTCCCTCTCAGTTCCCTCCTGAAATCCCCACAGCTTCTCTATGTCCTGGGCTTCTCTCTCTCTCTTTCAGTTCCCTCTTGGAGCTTTATGGGAACGCTCCCTCAGGTAGAGTTCTTTTTGCAACCCTTTCCCTCTTCCTCCATGGACTCAGCTTGAAGGGACCAGACCCTCACCAAGCCCCCTGCTTTAGCAGCCATAACAGGGTGCAGAAAAAACCCAGCAAGAGGTAGGCCTCTGACCCAGCAACATGCACTGAGCTTCCGACCTAGGAAGCCAGATATCCTCCGTGTGGCAAGGAACCAATCAGAAGTTAGCTGTCAGGCTCTAAATGTGCTTTATGGTAACAGTGGTGTACAGAGCATAACAACTGCCCTGGGAGGGCCTAAAGGCCATAGCAACCAGTTGACCAATCAACACAGGACAGTTTGTACAAGCTTGGAAGTTTGTATAAACCAATCACCGTTGCAGACCCCAGATACTCCCCTTGCTCTACTGCAATAAATTCCCTGCTCCACACTCCCTCTGCGTCCTTCTTGCTCCACCTGCTGTGTTGGACGGACAGAGGACCCGAGTTAATACAGTTAACTCATTAATTTCTTAAAGACTCTTTGCTTTTGCATCAGATTGGGTCTCTTGGTGATTTGGGGGTTCAGAATTTGGGCACAACAGGATTTTATTAAAGCCTTGATGTCATACTGCAAACGGTTTGGCCTCAGTAGAGCTTGATGGTCAAAGATAGCACATTTGATTTCTGAATTCTCTCATATGGATACAACCTCCACCATGGCACCAACAAATGATTCCCCATCTCTTATTTCTGAACTTTCTCTGCACTATACTTTTAAAGGTCTCTTATCTCCTAAGTTTTCTCTACTTTCTACTCAAAAAAAAAAAAAAAAACCCAAAACCAAAAACCAAAAAACAAAAACCCCTCTTATCTCTATGATTTCTATGCCTATCCCTGAGGGTGGGATCTCTCTCTCCCCTGGTCTTGGGACTCCAACTCCCACCCTCACCCCCAACTACCAGGACCACGGGCCTGGGAATTTCAAATGTACATCGAAGATAAAAATTTCCCCTTAAACTCCGTACCTTCATATTCCATCTCTAGTCCATCCTGGAGGATTCTAATCAACTAAAGACTTCTCCAAAACTGCTCCAGGAGGGTCAGCCCTAGATGCTTCTAAGGGAATTTCCAACCCGCCCAAACCTCTGCATCCTAGACTGCTCTAAAGTGGCTAGCCTCAGGTGGTTCAACATCTCAGACTGCTCTAAAGCGACCTGCACTTTCCCAGCCCCAGGTGGTCCCACAGAACCTGGGCAGTGAGGGGAAACAGATGTGTCGTCCCCCCTCCCCTCCCCACCAGCCTGTACTCCTCTCTTCTCATTCTTTGGCCATCATTCCAGCCTTCCTGGGCCCCAACACAGATGCCATTCCAGCAGGAAGCAGTAATAGAAAAGATTCCATCACCCTTTATCACCCACAAAAGGCTGGAACGTTAGATCTCACAGAAACCACAGACAAATGGCTGAGGTGCCTCTTTAACATATCAAAGCTGATTCTGGTGACCAGTCTCTCTCAGTCCCTACTCACAAATAACCTGTCACAGAGTCATCTTGAGTGGCATATGCTGCCCCCTAGCCTCAACCTCTCTTCAGCCCATGGTCTGGGTTTCTCCTCCCCCAGCCTCTGATCCCCCTATAATCTCAACCTTTTTGAGCATGCAGTCTCTTGGTCTCTTGGTTCCCCTCTTGGCCTCCTCCTTTCTCCACTCTTCTCTTCCTCTCACTCCTACCCCTGCACCCCTTCTCTCATGGCACAGTTTATATGGACCCTTCCAGATGCCTCTGGCTGTTGTCTCCCTCATATCTACAATAAATCTTGTCCTCCACCATATCTGGAGCAGTCATGTCCTCATTTCTTCATTCAGTATATAGTCATGCTTTGCTTGGTGATGGGAAGATTTCAGAAAAAAAAATATATTTTAGGGGATTTTGTAGTTCTGCAAACATTCTGTAGCATATTTGCCCAGAGCTGGCTGGAGGTAACCCATTACTAGAGCAATAAGACAACAAAAGGAGATCAAGGGGATACAAATTGGAAAGGAAGAAGGCAAATTTTCACTATTTGCAGATGATATAATAGTTTACATAAGTGACCCAAAAAATTCTACCAGGGAACTCCTACCGCTGATAAACACCTTCAGCAAAGTGGCAGGATACAAGATTAACAACAACAACAAAAAAAAGGTAGCCCTACTATATATAGATGAATATGGCTGAGAAAGAAATCAGAGAAACATCACCCTTCACCATAGCCACAAACAACATAAAATATCTTGGGGGCTAACTCTAACCAAACAAGTGAAAGACCTGTATAATAAGAATTTTGAGTCTTTAAAGAAAGAAATTAAAGAAGATACCAGAAAATGGAAAGACCTCCCATGCTCTTGGATAAGTAAGATCAACACAGTAAGAATGGCAATCTTGCCAAAAGCAATCTACAGATTCAACATAATCCCCATCAAAATCCCAGCACAGTTCTTCACAGACCTTGAAAGAAAAATACTCAACTTTATATGGAAAAACAAAAAACCCAGGATAGCCAAACAACCTGTACAATAAAGGAACTTCTGGGAGTCATCAGGAGGCCGGCGGTGCGGGGCTGAGGGCCCTCGGGCTGAGCAGTCATGTCGCACAAACAGATTTACTATTTGGACAAATACGATGACGAGGAGTTCGAGTACCGGCATGTCATGTTGCCCAAAGACATAGCCAAGCTGGTCCCTAAAACGCATTTGATGTCTGAATCTGAATGGAGAAATCTTGGCGTTCAGCAGAGTCAAGGATGGGTCCATTATATGATGATCCATGAACCAGAACTTCACATCTTACTCTTCCGGCAGCCACTACCCAAGAAGCCAAAGAAATGAAGCTGTTGAACCACCTTTCAAACTCAAGCTTTACACAGCTGTCCTTCCTTCCTACACCTTCTGATAGCATGATTATGTTGCTTTCTTATTTCTCACTTTGATATTTAAAGGATGTTTGTTCAAAACATTGTTTGATTGTGTTGGTACCTGCTTTGCTTCTTGAGCTGAGCCACCAATGCCACAACCTGTCAGATGAGTGTGACCTCAAAGACCTAGTGTGCTCTTTATCCAGCAGGCATATCCATACTTGCCATCTCTGGGAAGCATGTGAAAATCAGATCATGGCTGTTACAGGGATAGTGTGAATTTCCTGTTGTGGTTTTTACTATTGGGTATTGTATTTATGGTGACTTACGGATTTATGTTTCAATATATTGGAAACTTTCCATTTTATCTGACAAATCTCTTCCATGTTACAAGCCTTGATTAAAGGAAGTTTTTATAATATAAAAAAATAAAAAAATAAAGGAACTTCTGGAGGTATCACCATCCCTGACTTAAAGCTCTATTATAGAGCTATAGTTCTGAAAACAGCTTGGTATTGGCACAAAAATGGACAGGTAGACCAATGAAATTGAATTGAAAACCCTGATATTAACCCACACACCTAAAAACACCTGATTTTTGACCAAAAAAAACCACTAAAATTATACAATGGAAAAAAGAAAGCATCTTAAACAAATGGTGCTAGCATAATTGGATGCTGGCATGTAGAAGACTGCAGATAGATCCATATCTATCGAGATGCATAAAACTTAAGTCCAAATGGATCAAAGACCTTAACATAAATTCAGCCACAGTAAACCTCCTAGAAGATAAAGTGGGAGCTACCCTTGAATGAATTGGTACAGGAGATGGCTTCCTGAACATTACACCAGTAGCACAGACACTGAGATTGACAATTAATAAATGGGACCTCCTGAGACTGAGAAGCTTCTGTAAGGCAAAGAACACCATCAACAAGCCAAACAGCAGCTCACAGAATGGGCAAAGATCTTCACCAACCCCACATCTGACAGAGGGCTGATCTCCAAAATATACAAAGAACTAAAAAAGCTAGCCACCTAAACACCAAATAATCCGATTAAAAAGTGGGATACAGAACTAAATAGAGAATTCTCACTAGAGGAATCTAAAATGGCTGAAAGACACTTAAGAAATTGCTCAACATCCTTACCTATCAGGGAAATGCAAATCAAAACAACTCTGAGATACAATCTCATACCTGTTAGAATGGCTGAAACCAAAAATACCAATGACAGTTTTTGCTGGAGAGGACGTGGAGAATGGGGAACACCCCTCCACTGCTGGTGGGAGTGAAAAGTTGCAGTCACTTTGGAAATAAGTATGGCAATTCCACAGGAAAATGGGAATCAGTCTACCACAATATCCAGCAATTCCACTCTTAGGCATATACCCAAAGGATGCACATTCATACAACAAGGACATCTGTTCAACAATGTTCAATTGTAATAGACAGAACCTGGAAGCAACCTAGATGCCCCTCAACTGAAGAATGGAAGAGAAAATGTGGTACATTTACACAATGGAGTAGTACTTAGTGGACAAAAAACGAAAACAACAAACAAACAAAAAAACCAATGGAATCTTGAAATTCACATGCAAATGGATGGAACTATAAGAAACCACCCTGAGTGAGGTAACCCAGTCACAAAAAGACAAAGATGGTATGCACTCACACATATATTAGGCATAAAGGATTATCAGCCTACAATCTACACCTCCAGAGAAGCTAGGAAACAAGGAGGACCCTGAGAGAGACCTATATGGTCACCCAGAGAAGCAGAAAGGAACAAAATCTGAGCAAATTGGGAGCGTGTGGGAAGGGGAGAGGGAGTTAGGAGAAAGAGCAGGGGAGAAGAGGAGGGGGGAGGAGGACATGAGGGAGCAGGAAGATTGAGTCAGGAGAAGAATAGAGGAGAGTAAGGAAAAAGATACCTTAATAAAGGGAGCCATTATAGGTTTAAAGAGAAATCTGGCTCTAGGGAAATGTCCAGAGATCTACAAGGATGACCCCAACTAACAATCTAGCAATAGTGGAGAGGCTACCTTAAATGCCCTTCCCTGATAATGAGATTGATGACTACCTTATATGCCATCCTAGAACTTTCATCCAGTAGCTGATGGTAGCAGAAGCAGACATCCACAGCTAAACACTGAACTGAACTCTGGAATCCAGTTGCAGAGAGGGCGGAGTGATGAGCAAAGGGGTCAAGACCAGGCTGAGGGAAACCCACAGATATAGCTGACCTGAACAAGAGGTAGCTCATGGACCTGCCTAGGATTGTCTGTATTTGCCCCACTTTGGGGAGTCATTTGTCAAGGACTGATATCTTTGGGGCTGCAATCAGAAACAGCCAAACAACCCCGGGTCCCACCCCGAGTGGGGGAGTGTGGTTAAGGGAAAGCTAGCTATCCAATGATGTTAAAGAAAAGATGGAGACATCTGATCATAACAGGAGGGCAGTCAGTTAATACTGAAGACACCAAGTTTATTGATGCATCATCTTAAGTAACCATCCAAAAATGGGGCAATGGCAGAAAATATCTATTATCATGTATAAAGGGCAGATAGCAATTATTTCCCTTAATCCTTAAGACACTCCTTTGTAGCAAGTACTCAAGCCTTCAGGTGTCTTCACTCTAGCATATCTCACTAGCCCTCAGGGTGAGCGTATACATGCCCTGTTCAAAGTCTATTGTTATTTAGATAGTAGCCATTCTCTATGGAGCCCAGGACATCCAGCAGCTATTAGCTGACATCTAAAAGTCAATACAAATTCTGGGCTCTCCAGAACTCATGGCAGGGTGGAATAGGTTTCCAATATATATGCCCCCTCCACATGGACCCCAGACTGGCAGCTCAAAACAGCCTAGGACCAAACCAGGCCCCCTGAAGGTGGGTGTCAGTTAGGAGACCTGGGCAGTTATGGGGCCTCTGGTAGTGGAACAGTATTTATTCCTAGTATAGGAATGGACTTTGGGAGTCCATTCTCCATAGGATGGATACTCTCTCAGTCTAGACACATGGGGAGAGGGGTTGACCCTGTCCCAAATGATGTGACAGACTTTGATGATCCCCCATGGAAGACCTCTCCCTCCCTGGGGAGTAGAAGAGGGATGGTGGTTTTTAGGGGGCTTGGGAGGATGGGAGGGAGAGGGAACTGGGATTGATATGTAAAATAAGAGTGTTCCTAATTTAAATAAGAAAGATTCAAAGAAGAGGGGCTAGAGAAATGGCTTGGTGGTTAAGAGCACTGTTTGCTCTTCCAAAGCACCAGGGTTCAATTCCCAGCACCCACATGGCAGCTCACAACTGTCTGTAACCCAAATTCTAGTCAGGACATGCTTACCTGTGTCTGAGAACTTCATAAACATCCTCACCCATGTCCAGAAACGCTGGAGCACCAGGAACCACACAGAACATCTCTGTGGTGTCCTGGGTGTGGGTGTTAGGCCCCATTTCCTTCTATTACTGTCTTATTTAGCAAAATCAAGACCCCATCCCTTGAGAGTCAGCTGTATCCCCAGTAAAATATTTCTCTGGGAAAAAGAGCTTGGGAAGTGTCCACACCTGACTCTTTGTAAGTCATTTTCATGGGACGCTGGGGAATTTCTTGTTTATTGTCTGTCCGGGACAAACAGAATCTCTTGCATCTCCCAGCTCAGCCAGCAGCAGCTTTGGCCTGGTTTGGAGCCAAGACTATTATGACTCATCTGGAAGGGACCCTGCTGGTCTGCCACTGCAGAGCCACAGAAGCTGAGTTCCAGGAAGTCCCCATAGGCTGCCTTCTGGTTAGAGAGGGGAGCTAGCAGGATCTATGCTTGCAACCACAGACATGGAAGTGGACTCTTCTTACCTACCCACTAGCCACTGAGTGAAGGGCCTCAAGGGACAGCAGGAAGAAAACAGTCCCCATGTACCAGCACACGCATGTACAACACATAGATCTGCTGACTCACACACAGATGCAGACAGTCAGAGAGACAGCGTTAGGAAGAACTGTTCTGTGGATTTTAACAAGCACAGAGATTCCTGTGTCTCTGGCTTCCATCCCTGATGGAGTGGTTCCATCACCCTTAGAAATGGCCCTGTTGACTTCATTTGTAGTCAGAGGCTCCCTGTTTCCTAACCTTATAACCCTAACACCTCTTCTGTCCATATACTTTTGTCTTTTCAAGGGTGTCATATGAAAGGAAGTCTATTTTGTGCAAATTTTTCCAAGTTCAAACTTTTGGTCAGGGTCCTCACTGACTTTGCTCTTGGTGAAGGAATTATGGTGAGTATTGTCAGAGTGATAGGACCAAGTGTGGAAAGAGGAGATTCAATGTCTCAGGCATTAGAGCTGGTGCTATGATCCATCCCTGTCCCATTGGTCAGAAATCCCAAGAAACCTACCTTAGTGCCTTCCAAAGACATTCCTTCAATGTTCAGTGGCCTAAGCACCCCCTCAGGACTCCACCTGACCTACCATCTCTTAACAATGAAATCCTGGGGACCAAGCGTCTAACTTGTGCATCTGGGAGACACAAACATGCCAGAGTCAGCTTGTCTCTGAGCTGACTGTCCACTGAGGTGTGGAACCTGGGCTTGATCACCGCTCGGAGTCATTGTAACCCAATTTTAAGACAGGCCCAAAGGCAGAATCAGAGGGATGTCCCTGTATTAGTGCTCCAGATACCCTGATGTCCAACAATGATGCCACTGACACTTGCAGGAAGCATCCTTGAGTTGCTCTGAGATGGGCCTGGCATACATGTCAGGTACGTTCTGCTGACTTTCAAGCTGGGCCCACATAGGAACAGTTTAGGTCTTACAGAAAAAATTTTGACAGATGTTAAATCTTTGTTTGATATTCTACATAAGCCACACAGAAATGCCTTTCCATAAGTCAAAGGCAAGACTTTTAGATGCAGAGAATTCTAAGCAAATTGGAACAAACAAGAACAAAAACAGACCACAATTGCTTCACTATCTTTAATGAGTGCTTGCAACAGGAACACAAGCTGAAATGGGATGATTTTGTTTTGCTATTAAA